AGTTCAGTCACTCAGTTGTGCCCAACTCTTAGCGACACCATGGACTGTAGCACACCAGGCCTCCCTGTCCATCACCAACTCCCAGAGTTTACTCAAACTCATGTCCATTGAGTCAGTGATGCCGTCCAACCATCTCATCCTCTGTCATCCCTTTCTCCTCCTGCCTTCGATCTTTCGCAGCATCAGGGTCTTTTCCAGTGAGTCAATTCTTCACATCAGGTGGCCAAAGGATTAGAGTTGCAGCTTCAGCATCAGTCCTTCCAATGAACACCCAGGACTGATCTCCTTTAAGATGGACTGGTTGGATCTCCTTGCAATCCAAGGGACTCTCAAGAGTCTTCTCCAACACCACAGTTAAAAAACATCAATTCTTCGGTGCTCAGCTTTCTTCATACTCCAAATCTCACATCCATACATGACGACTGGAGAAACCATAGCTTTGACTAGATGGACTTTTGTTGGCAAAGTAATGTCTCTGCTTTTTAATATGCTGTCTAGGTTGGTCATAACTTTACTTCCAAGGAGTAAGCATCTTTTAATTTCATGGCTACAGTCATCATATGAAGTGATTTTGGAGCCCCCAAAAATAAAGTCTGTCACTGTTTCCTTTGCTTCCCCATCTATTTGCCATGAATTGATGGGACTGATGCCATGATCTTTGTTTTCTGAATATTGAGTTTTAAGCCAACTTATTCACTCTCCTGTTTCACTTTCATCAAGAGGCCCTTTAGTTCTTCTTTACTTTCTGCCATACGGGTGATGTCATCTGCATACCTGACTTTCTTGATATTTCCCCTGGCAATCTTGATTCCAGCTTGTGCTTCTTCCAGCCCAGCATTTTTCATGATGTACTGTGCATATAAGTTAAAGAAGCAGGGTAACAATATACAACCTTGACGTACTCCTTTTCCTATTTGGAACCAGCCTGTTGTTCCATGTCCAGTTCTAACTGTTGCCTCCTGACCTCCATACAGGTTTCTCAAGAGGCAGGTCAGGTGGTCT